TATAAAGGAAGGAAAGCATGACCAAAAGGTGAAAGGTCAAATCAATAAATAAATGAGAAAGAACGACGATAATTTTGAATAATTAAAGAAAATGATCGAAGACCATGCAGATAGGAGGAATTTTGGGGGGAAGTTCCCCCCCCCCCCCCCCAAAGAAACCAACCGGGGAAAATTGAATGGAACGGAAGGAGGAGCCCTTGAAAATCTAGCAAGTAGCAGCCGGTAGCGCTCTTGTTCATCAGTCAGAGGGGTCGGGTTCGAACCCCCATTACATCATTTTTTTTTGTTTTTTTTTCAGTAAACTAAGGAGCTGAAATGGAAGATCACCCCTTCAGTTTCGTGATTTAATCATTCTCCCACGATTTTCCATTAAATTTTCACGAATCTTTGAGCTCAAAAATCCCCCCGCTCACCTCGATACTCTGGGAACGCCTTCTGAATATTCTCATGCTTAATTTTCTCGGCGAATAGATCCTTTTTGTTCAGGAACAGAATGATATTGGTGTTGTGGAACCATCGGGAGTTACAAATGGATTCGAAGAGTCTCATCGATTCGATCATTCGGTTCTGAAAGCTAGGCGGTGTTTGCGGACTCGGCATCAGATTTTACGACACTTTAACCTACCGTTGTCTCATCTTCAAAAAGCACTTCATTGTATTCTGAGAGAGCTGCGATGAATATGATTGCGTTGACATCCTCGAAGCAGTGGATCCATTTCTTACGCTCCGATCGTTGACCTCCTACGTCGAATACTCTGAAACATTGGAGCTTAAGAGGTTTGTCTGTGGGTCTGGGCTCCCAGGGCTCCCAGGGCTCCCAGGGCTTCCAGGGCTCCCAGGGCTTCTAGGGCTTCTAGGGCACCCAGGGCTCCCAGAGCTCACAAGGCTTCTAGGGCTCCTATAGCTTCTAGGGCTCCAGACCCTTCCCCAGGAATTTCTACTCACCTAAACTTGACCCTCTTGATCTCAAATTGCACCTCTACAATTCCCGTGGTTTTTGTCCGCAACAGAAGGATATCGTCGTCATTTGGAGCGTAATCTGGCAATCGGATCCGTGGGAGACTGTCGAAGAAACTGAAATTTTGGAATTTTTGCATTCCCGCCAAATCTCCAAAATGCACATACTGTTTCGTGTTATCCCCAATATCCCGGATATTATATTGCCTGCGTTGATCGTACATCTTCTTGACCACTGGGTCACTCCAGAGTCTCTGAAAATGGGGAAACTGAAAATTGGGTCTGAAAAAAAGGGTACAGTACCTCCACATACTCCGCGGCGTCCTCCTGGAATTTCTTGTTCTGCATGTCTTTGATGAAGAGGGTTAGCATGTGAACATCACTCTGAAAATTTGGTTTTAAGGTGGAATGGGGCTGAAAAAGGGGCTAAACCTCTGGATTTTCACGGAGGATGAAAACAAAAAAAACAAAAGAGAACTACCTCCGAGGGGTTCGAACCCAGGGTCGGTCTGGCTGAAGGACAAGAGCGCTACCGGCTGCGCCACGTGGGCGCGAGGGGGCTTCTCAGCCGGTCGGCACGTCGTTTTCCCGGATGGCGCAGATGGTAGCGCTGTTGTTCTTCAGCCAGACATCCCGGGTTCAAACCCACCGGAGGCAATTTTTTTTTCTTGATCCTTACCATCCTCCTATAAGGTTACGGTACCCATTTTTTGGAATGTCATCGCATCAAAATACGTCACCAACTTCCATAATGATATTAAGCGCTTCCCAACTCCCCGAGCTCACACAAAGGGCACCCCAACTTTCTAAATTTTGTGAGAGATCACAAAATCTGGTCATCGAATTTTTCCAAGCAAAGTGCATCCCTACTAGCTCACCTCTCTCTTCGAATCCGTAAAATTCATGCCAGCCGACGGCAATGCCTTCACTATACGATCCATTTCGGTGACTATGTTTGTGTAGACCAGCTGAAAATTTGTTTGGGATGGTTCTGATGGGGTGCCCTTAAAAATACCTTGGCCTGTGTCTCCAACTCATCCGGTGTGTACGTCTTTTTTGTGAGTAGACGCATTTGTTTGAGTACGGTGGATTTACCACATTCTCCGGCTCCTGGAATATAGAACATGAGGTTTTAGAAAGGTGGGAAAGTCCCCAATGGATAGCTAATGAAAAAAATAAATATTTCGCCCCGGCGGGGATTGAACCCTGGAGGCCATTTGGCTGAAGTACAAGAGCGCTACCGGTTGCGCCATGCAGCGCGCCTAGGCTGCCGGAAGCGCTCTCCTGTCCGCGTGGCGCAGTCGGTAACACCCTTGTTCATCACCCAGACAGGTCCCAGGTTCAATCCCATCAGAGATAATTCTTTTTTTTTTTTTTTTTTTTTTTTTTTGCTTTCCTGTCCCTCCAAATTCCGTCTCCACCAACAACAATTCTATATATTTGCGTGGGTCTTAAAGTACACATTTCCTTTCTCGTCTCTCAAAGAGTCAAATCTTAATTTCTGAATCTTAATTAAACATCTTTTGCACTTTATCCCCTCCTCCTCCTATCCTCCCAGCCCCAAAAGTCTCTTCTCTGCCCGGAACAAACAATAGGGAGGTCTGACGTCATCTGACGTCTTGGGGAATTCAGAAGATGATGACACATTTCACGCTTCATCATATCAGAAGATTACCGAGTTATTTTTGATATTTTCAAAAATATGAAAGTGGAAATTTCACGAATTACGCATGTGTGTGTCTCGTTGCTAATTGTTCAGAAAACAACGGAAGAGGAAAGGATTAGGCATAACATATTGTTATAGACAATAGCAGGGCGGAAAAAAGGTGATTACTCGGGAGAACAGCTGATGGAAAAAAAACCAAAATGTAGATTAAAAAGTTTGCTATCGATTGGTATAAATATCATACAGGATTTTACTGTCTAGAACTAGAAAATCTAGTTTTTTTTTCGCTGAAATTTTGAGTTTTTCCTGGTTTTGAGCATTTTTTTCTGAAACAACCCTATTTATACCAATCGATAAGGAATTTTCGGCTCTACAATCGTATGTACTCAGTGTAGCCCAAGAATTTTTTCTCCAGGACCAAAAACTTCCATGCTTTGCTCCGCGAGCACTAGCTAACTGGTCCTCATCTAGCCCTAATTCTATAACTGTTTAATTCCCAGCCGCTTTGTCCAGTTTTTTCTTCATTTTGTATAAATCCTAGATGTCCTACCTCTGTTTGAATCCCAAAAACCCTCCTATCTAGGTGCATAAAAGTTCTAGAATATGTACCCTCCTTCTAGAATAAACCTAATCCCTCAGCTCCTATTCATAACCTGATCTATTTTCTAGACTAATCCCCTAGTGTCTCCAACTAGGTGATTTTTGAAACTTTTTTGTATAGGTTACCGGGTTTTTGCCTAGGATAGTAAGAATCACAAAATGAACAGTAACTACGAGAGCTCCTCTAGTTGGAGGGTGAAGGTTGGAAGTTGAGCTAGGATACCTCAGTTGCGGGTGAAGCTATCGGAAAGTGATTAACTAGAAAGTTGTAGAGAATAAAAAATTGAATAAATTTGCTGTTGATCATTTTTCACCAGCTGTTACCAGAACCGAGATAAAACCGTCTAAACATTAGAGGCGGTTCATATCTCGGTTGCCTAAAGTTTAGACTGTCCTATCTCAGTAACCAAAAGAGATATCGAAAAATTGTCAACTAATAAAGTGTGCAAAATCTAAAATTAAACAAGTTTGTAGTTGACAACTTTTTGCTAGCTCTAACCACAACCGAGATATACTGTCTCAACCAGGGGGTACTGTAAACACCATAGTAAGGTGCAATGGGGGGGGGGGGGGAGTAGATTCCCTCCAAGATCTCGGACCCAATGTCTGCGTCTCTCCCAACTTCATGCTATTCCCCTTTCACTTACCTAACAACAAAAGCTTGACCGTACGCTCCTCACTCGACTGATTCTGCTTGATCTCCTTGTCGATCTGTCGACTTTTCTGCGACCCAACCTTTTCCTCCTCACTCTGACACAATCCCATAATTCGTCGAATTTTCGTTAGTATTTTAGGTCGTTGGTATGTGAAGTTTTTTTTTTTACCTGGAAATTTGAATTTTGAGCAGAAATTGAAAGAGAAAATGCGTGAAAATGAGCAAAAATGAGGCGAAGGCGAGGAGGAGACGGAAAAAGTGGGTGGAGAGGAGAATCTGAGAAACTGGGGAGAAGAGAAGAGTAGAATAGGAAACGAAAAACGTGGGAGATTTGAAAAAATAATGAGGGGTGGATACTTGAAAATGTTTCTTATCCTTTTTTCGTTTTTTGAAAAAAATACGGAAATGACAAGGAGCCGTCTAGGAGTCTAGAAGCAGGATCAGGGGGTTCATCAGAGAAAGGGGTCCAGGTGTTTTGGGGGTCAGACGGAAATAGAAAATGCCTGGTGGTCATGGGGGGGGGGGGGGGGTGGGGTAAGATCCTTCTAGCACAACAACATCATCATAATCAGTAGACTGTGACCACCCGAAGATTTTTGGTCAGCACGTAATGAGGATGAGGTCATTTTTCTAAGATCTTTAGGGGAGGTGTGGTGGCTGAGGGCCCATGAAGGGGCCTAGATTCCATAAAAAAGGGCCTAGATTCCAAAAAAAGAGCCTAAAATCTGAAAAAGGGCATAGATTCTAAAAAAAAAAGAGCCTAGATTCCGAAATGAGGGGCCTAGGTCACCAAAAACTGCCCAGACCGTCAAATAGTGGCCTAGATTTTCCAAAATGTTGCCTAGATTTCCATGAAGCGGCCTAGGTTTTTCAAAATGTGTCCTAGGTCACCTAATGGTCCAGATCGCCAAAAAATTGGCTAGGCTATCAAATAGTGGCATAGATATTCCAAAATATGACCTAGATTCATTGGACCGGTCTAGACTACCGAAACATGACCTAACTTCCCATCCACTTGGAATTCTAGGCCATCATTGGAAAAGGTCTCGAACTGTTGGGCTAAAAAGTAGCCTAGATTTCCTAGACCTGTCTAGACTCCCAAAATCTGGCCTAATTTCCCAAACATTTAGAATTCTAGGCCACTAAACACCAAACTTCTGAAAAAATTCCATTTCCTTTTCTGACAAAGTTCATTCCCTTTCCCATAATTATGTTCTTTTTTCACTTTCTTGAAAATTTTCCAAAATCATTTTCTTAGAAAATTCAAAAACCATTTCGATCACCTGACTTCTTCGAGACCCTGCTCTTGAATAACAATAGACACCTAATCAAATAAAACTAGAAAAAAAGGAAAACTTGTCGACGACGAAGGAGAAGGAGGGAGTAACTGCGTAATCAGTGTGTGTATATGAATACATACATATGGCATTTTCAATTGAATACCCTTGAGAGATTAGAAAAAAATATATAGATATATGTATATGAGAAGAAAGAGGTGGAGAGTAAGAGGAAAAGAAGGAAGAAGAAAAATAGGGGGAGGAGTTTTGGGAACTTTTGGGGTTAGAGCGCGCCTACGGCGCATCGGCAAAGGTGTTCTTAGTACTGTATGTTTGGAGCAGTGTATCTCGGTTGGTTTTAGAGTCATCAAAAAAGAGTCAACTGAATACTTACTTATCACAAAATTTACAACATTTTGCCAGTTGACCACTTTTTGATAGCGTTAAAGACGACCGAGATATGCAGCTTCGAACATGCAGTACTGTAAGAGCCAATCCAGTAATCCAGAAGGCAGGGCTTACGGTGCACAACCCTATATGATATTTATACCAATCGATAGGGAATTTTTCGCTCTACAAGTTCCACTTTCTAAAATTTCAACCACCTTTTAAAACGAGCACATTTTGGCCAAAAACTACTATCTCTAAAAACTCAACATTAGAATTTATATAATCAAAACCGAATGAAGAAGAAGAGGAAGCAAAATAAAGGCGGAATTTCATAAACAAAAAAGAGCAAAATATTGTCATCAATAACAAAATATTTATGAAATTCAAAACCAATAATTATATGATAGAGACAGAGAGTGAAGAAAATGTTAGAGTAAGTTTTGATGGAAATTGGTGATTTGGAGGAGGAAAAGCGAAAGGGCAATAACATTGAGAATAGAGATGCCAGCCTAGAGAGTATTCTGAGAAATGAGAGTTGTAGATCAAAAAATTCTCTGTCGATTGGTATAAATATGGTATGGGGTTGTATCAGAAAATATGACTCAAAAATCGAAAAAAATATTTTGATTTTCGACGCATATTTTCTGATGCAACCCTATATGATATTTATACCAATCGATAGAGAATTTTTTGATCTACAAATTCTTTTTCATTTTTTCAAAAATTTCGAAAATCCCGACAAAAATTGCAAAATCCAAAACAGGAGCCGACTAGAAGTTGTGGAGCCCCGGAGCACCGGAGCTCTGTGCTGAAGCGCCGTAGGCGCGCGGAGCGTATAGTTATGTTTTCCATACATTGTAGTTATTTGAAATAGGCTTTCAGTGCCCAAAAAATAGTTTTTTCAAAATAACAAATCATTCAAAATTTCGAAAAATTGCCTGAAGACTTTTTTCAAAAAATGAGTTTTTCTTAGGTTTTGTCTCATATTTTCTGTAACAATTCTATATGATATTTATACCAATCGATAGATAATTTTTTGATCTATTTATAAGCTCGGTTTTTTGAGTTTTTTCGAAATTTCTGAAATTGCCATTGTAAGGCGAAAAATGTTGTTGCAATAATGAAAATTACATGTCTCAAATTGACTAATGAATGTCCTTGGGGGCCAAGACTGAAGTATCTTTCATATAAAAAAAATTGCTAAGCCTAGACAACAAAACCATCAAAGTACATGTTTCTAGACCAAAACTCAGTACTACACTCCAAGTTTCTTTCTTTCAAAAGTTTGTCTAGTAGGAAAAACTCATAACTTTCAAAGGTTTCGCTCACAAAAGAATACGAAATCAGCTTCTTACTCACCCAAACCTAACTCATATTCCCAATGAGTCTCTCAGCCTCTGCAAAGAGAAAAGAAAGGCAATGTTTGGTGTTGATGATGAGTCAAAAAGGCAACAAACAATGGAGAGATTTATATTGAAATTCTGAAGGGGACCTTCTTGGGATATTAGGCCCCGGGAAATTGGATCCTCACCAAAACCACTTCTTCTTTGTTTTCACAAAGCAAGACAGACCAACACACGTTTTGAGAGTCAAGAGGCCTTCTTCTTCTTTTCCTCTCTTCTGCTTCTGCTTCTCCACGTGATACTGCTCCTCCACTGATGATGATGGTGG